CTGCTCTGACATCCTGTGTTCTAAGGCCCTCCCAGCTCTGACTTCCTATATTCGAACATTTTATATTCTAAGCCCCCTTCCTACTTTCAGAATCTATGGCTCAGAGACAAATTTGTCCAGTAAAACAGACATAGGTGTTCAGAGAGCCAGTACACCTGGCCCATACCCTCTACAAAGCCATGTTGGGGCTTCCATGGCCACTGCTGTCCCCAAAGCCCATCCCTGTTCCTTTGAACCCTCTCATGACCAGCCAAGGCATAGCTCAGGATACCTGATTCCTGGGTACTTTTTCCTGCAATAACATAATGACTTGCCCTTCTGAAAAACCATCAGTGCTGGTAAACTCCTGCCGCTAACCTACATTACGCTGATCTCTCCCTAAACCTTTGCAGTTATTAATAGTTTATTGATTGCAGCCCATTGCTGGTGAAAAGCAGCCCCTACCCAGCCTCCTGTTATCTCTAGATGGCCTGGTAACCAGTCAGCAGATCAATGCCACTCAGTTCCTGGGGGAAAAATCTCACTGGGATGCTTAATCCACTTTGGGGGGAGTGGTGCAGCTGAGGTAAAAGCTAAGATTGGGTAAAGAGAGCCAGGCTGCAACAAATACAACTTGTGTCCTAGGTAGAAATGAGCCTGTAGAAAGGAGAGGGAGGAAGGCGTAATTGGAACACTGTGCTTGGCCTTGCTCTGCTGGGGCAGTTCTACCAGGTGGGCAGCATGTGCTTGTGGCCGGGTTATCACACATGCCACCCCCTCTCCCCCAACACTAATCAAAACAATATCCCCCTATTCCTGGGAAAGATGTGACAATCAAATGCTCTCCAACTCTATTCACCAGCCCCAAACCCTCCTCCTTGGCCACTAGTCCCCTGGAGGGAATGTCTTCCCCTATTAAGATATAAGCCCCTGGAGGGCAGGGACTGTTCTCCTTTTTGTCTTGGTATCCTAGTTCTTAGCATATGCCTGGCACACATCAAATCCTTAATATTCATTCTTTCTTTCATTCATTCCTGTATTCAATACAGGTATACCTGTCCCCTGCAGAAGTCAACTCTGTATATATGTCACCTACATATCGCCTATACTTCTACTGCTCACCTACATATGCCACCTATATATGTACCACTCACTTCTATATGTGTATATGCATTGTATTTATATACATATACTTTTATATCCATACATATTATGTACATATACATATATGTATATACATAGTGTGTGTGTGTGTTCCATCCAACTACTAACCAGGCCCCTGTGTGAGTGTATGTATAGGGGCAGCTAAGTGGGGACGGTGGACAAAGTAACGGGCCTGGAGTCAAGAAGACTTCTCTTCTGGAATTCAAAATCTCTTCTTGAATTCAAATTTGGCCTCAGACACTTACTAGCTGTGTAACCCTGGGCAAGTCACTTAATAACCCTGTTTGCCTCAGTTTCCTTATATGTAAAATGAGCTGGAGAAAGAAAAGGCAAACCACTCCAGTGTCTTTGCCAAGAAAACCCCAATGCGGTCATGAAGAGTCTGATACGACTGAAAAATTACTAAACTATAACAAAATATCTATGTATATACATATGTAGATGTTATATATACATATCTTAAATATGTAATTATGAATCAATACATGTTTATATTATATATGTATATAAAAGATAATTTCTGTTTCTATTTCATATCATATGCCACTCACCCACCTATCACTTTGATCATATATCCAAAGGGTATTTATCAGTCACCTTCATAAAAATCCTGTGCTTGTATCACTCATCTCCACGTGTCATCTATCACTTATCTCTGTTCCTTCCTACTGTTCCTCACACATGACTCCTTTCTCCCATCTACATGCTTTTGCACAGGCTTTCCCTCATGCTTGGAATGCATTCCTCTCTCACTTCTGTTTCTCCAAATGCCTAGCTTCTTTCATAGATCAGCTCAAGCACCCCCTCCTATAGGAGGCCTTTCCTGATCTGCAGCGGCAAGAGGCTCCTCCCCCTACAAATAATTATCTTGTACTATATTTATCTTGGCCATATATTGCATGTATTTCTATTCAACCCCTGAGTAAAGAGACAGCTATGTCAAGGTAGATAGCAAGTAGACCTCAGAGCCAGAAAGAGCTGGGTTCAAGTCCTGCCTCTGACACCAAATGGTTGTGTGATCCTGGGCAAGTCATTTAATTTATCAGTGCTCAAGGCAACTCTCTAAGATTATATACTGCAGAGGAGGTGCTAGCCTGCATTGGTAAAAGGAGTTTCCTCATCTGGAAGTTTGTTACTGCAATAAAATCACAGATCTAGTCTGTAAGCACCTTAAGGATAGGGACTGTTTCATTTTTGCATTTGTATTGCCAAAGCCTAGCACAATGTCTGCTGCATAGTAGGTGCTTATTAATAAGCATGTGTTGTTTGCTTGATTGCTTGATCAATCCCTTATACATCTATCATTCACCTGCATACACCACCTATCACTCAGCTTAGCTACACACACATCCCCCCTCCTATGTATCTATTGCTCACCTACATGTATCACCTGCGTACCTATCAATCACCCCAACACATCACCTGTCTGTCAATCATCAACTCATACCACCTGCATAATTGCTACCTGTACACAAATCACCTACATTGGAGTCTCCGAAGCCCACATTGATGGTGCACCTGAGCTCTATAGATAATATAAGCTAGGTAGGAGGCGATGATTGGTATGCCCGTGATCAATAGCTGCACAGGTGACATGTGCATAGTGGAGATATTACCAGAGAGATAATGTAGTACAGTGGAAATAACAAAGCCTCTAGAGTCAGAGGACCTGGGTTCAAATCCCATTCCTGTCTCTATCTCTGGAACCTCAGAGAAGTCACTTCCTTTACCCAGGCCTCAGTTTTCTCTTTTACAAAGTGAAAGATTTGGACCACATGACCTCTGAGGTTTCTTTTAGCTCTAAATCTATTCTCTCTCCCTAAACAGAAATCTTCATGTGTCTCTTGAGTATATCTAGGTATCTGTCATCTACACATGCCATTACAATCCATACCACTTCTATATCACCTGCAACACATCACCTGTGTACCTCTCACCAATATGGATCATCTGGGTGGCTGTCATCATTATTGTCACTTGTTGGGTGACTCAGATTGCTCGACCAAGACGGAAGCAGAGGCAGACAGAGTCCCTGGGGCTCCCTGCAGCCCTGAGCCCCAGGAGACTGAGATTCTCCACAATAAGTATTCAGTAATCTCAGACAGCATCAGGGATGACATACAATCGGTCCTTCCTGCCTCTGCTGGAGGCAAGGCCCCACCCACCCTCTCTGTGCCGCATGTTAATGTCTCCTGGGTTCCTTCGCTCCCTAAAGGGGAGAGAGTTTAGCTGGATCTGCAGAACAATGGATGAAAAGAAAGACTTCAGATGAGGTAGTTCATCCAGAGAACAGTGAGTCTCAAGGCAAGGAGCCAGAAGATGAAGAGGAGGCAGAGACAGAGTTGAATCAGAAGAGTGAAGTGAGTCTTCAGATGAAGTGGTTGATAATAACAAGCTGGCTAGAGCTAAGTCCTGAAGGTTCTCCTGAGGGGAGGCAGGGAGTAGGGGAGGGAATAGTATAGGCAGGGGCTACCTGGCAGTCTGGATGCCAAGGGGAGGCCTGGTGAAGAGGGCAGAAAGGAGCCTGCCTCCTCAGTGACCAAGGCAGACAAGTGCTTCTAGGAAGGAAAAGGAGGAGAACGAAGGCAGAGGTCAGACTCCCCCAGACGTGTCCTTCGGAGGTCCTAAGCCCCCAGACACTGTCTTTATGACTTTGGGCAAGGCATTTTCCCTAAGTGCATCTCAGTTTCCACCAGGGACCAAACTTCGAGCTGGAAAGAACAACAGGTACCTCCCAGTTCCGACAGTCTCTCAGACTCTCCTTAACCTCTCTTGATCCTAGGAAGCCCTTCGTTTCACAAACTTGCCTGAGGTCAAAAAGCTAGAAAGCTGCAAAACCTAAATTTGAGCTTGGGTCAACAGTGAAGAGACTCTAGTCAAGAATTCCTGTTCAGGTGCAAGGTTGATCCAAATGTCCTCCCCTAAAGGACAGCTACACATCTTCTAAACAGGCCCCTCCCAGCTCTGACATTCTGTGTTCTAAGGGCCCTCCCAGCTCTGACATTCTGTGTTCTAACTCCCTCTACCCTGTGGTTTGGCCCCTTGGGTTGCTGGTTTATTTGTTATTGGTTTTGGTTTTGGTTTTGAGGGGTGGGTGTTTGTTTTGGTGGGGGCGGGTGTAGAGGTGAAAGGGGAGGGAGGGCCCAGAGCAGTGAGCCAGCCTTATAAAGGGATGGGAGTGACCAAGCAGATGAGAAGAGGGAGACGCCCCCTCCTCTGGGAGCACGCCGGTGGTTGTTTCTGTGTCACCCCGTGGCGCCTGCCTGTAGCTCCTTACTGCTCCACTAACATTCCCTTGGTAGCCTCCAAGTAGACCACCGTCGCCCGAGTCTTCACGCTCATCTTACTTTTCTCCCTCCTTCCTTCTTTCCACCACATGCCCAGGCTACCCGAGGTCCGGATCTCCGACAATGGGCCCTATGAGTGTCACGTGGGGATCTATGACCGAGCTACGAGGGAGAAGGTGGTCCTGGCGTCCGGCAACATCTTCCTCAACGTCATGTGTAAGTGACATGGGGCGCAAGGGGAGCGGGGACGAGGGAGCGGGGTATCTTCTATCCAGCGACGGTCAAGGAGGATGTGGAGTGGCGTGGGGCTGTGCCTACTGCCAGCTTGTAGGAATGGAAATTGTCCCCCGACCTTCTCCCCGGCAGTCCTCCAGTCCTCCAGTCCCTCCGCCCGAACTCCGCAGTGGGATGGGGTGGAGGATTTCAAAGGGAGTGGGAGGGGTTCTGCGGTGAATCTGCCTTGTGCCAGGGCCCTCCACCTGTCGGTCTCGTCCCCCTCCTTCCTGAGCGGGCTGTGGATTGTTAAATGAGCCAACATTCATTTAGTCAGTGAGTGAGTGAGAGTGTGTGTGTGTGTGCGTGTGTGTGTGTGTGTGAGTGTGTGTGTGTGTGTGTTGGCCGCAGGGCAGGGGGAAAGGGAGTAGGACAGAGCCGGGCAGAGCTACGTGTGCACGGTCTGGGTGCTCCGAGTGTTACCAACAACCATAACACCTCACATTTTCAATAACTCTCTAAGGTTTACCAAGCTCTGTCTTGATAACAACCCTTGTGAAGCAGGCATCAGCAGCACCATTATCAAGAGTCGGGCTTGAATCCCAGCTATGTGACTCACTACCTGTGTGACAGGCACTTTCCTCAGTTTCCTCATCTGTGAAAGGAGGAGGTCAGAGTAGAGGGCCTCGGAGGTCCCGTCTTCAGCTCTGGAGCTATGATCCTATGAGCCGTGGAACACGGAGGCTGGATTCCATGCTTGCTAAGGTCCCTTGAGCCTATGGAACTCCTCAATTCACAGACTCCTTGGCATTCAGTTGTTCACTTACATCCAATTCTTCGTGACCCCATTTGGGGTTTTCTTGGCAAAGATACTAGAGTGGTTTGTCATTCCTTCTCCAGCTCATTTGACAAATGAGGAAACTGAGGCAAATAGGGTGAAGTGACTTACCCAGGGTCACCAGATTTGAAGTCAGGAAGATAAGTCTTCCCAACTCCAGGCCTGGCACTCTATGCACTATGGCGCCCCCTAACTGCCCTTCACAGTCTTGCCCAAGGTCAACTAGCTAAAAATCTAAAAATCAGCAAAACCTGTATTTGAACTTGGGTCTCTTGACTAGTCAAGGATTCCTGTTCAAAAACAAGGTTGGATCAGATGTCCTCTGAGCTCCCAACTCTGAGATCCCACGGTTCTGAGTCTATTTCCAGAGTTCCCTCCCCTCTGTGACTGCCTTTCTATGGGGACTCAGCTGAGGGCTTATGTGGAAAGGGGGAAACAGTTGGGGTTGCATCTTTGTGCTCAAAAAATAAGATTGGGAGGGGCAGCCAGGTGACAAAGTGGATAGAGCACTGGCCCTGGAATTAGGAGGATCTGAGTTCAAATCCAACCTCAGACACATAACACTCACTAGCTGTGTGACTCTGGGCAAGTCATTTAACCCCAACTGCCTCACACACAAAAAAAGAAAGAAATAAGATTGGAGAGAAGTCTGGTGGAGAAAGCCTGCGGGCATTCAGGTGACTGCCTCAAGCTAGGCCATGGGCACATGGGGTGGGTCATTTCTGTGCCAACCACTGGCTGGGAGGGGAGAGGCCTGGAATGAAGGAGGGAGTGAGGGAGAGAGGGAGGGAGCTGTGAGCCTGGGGGCTCAGAACTCAGCTGACACAATGCAAGCCAGGAACGTTAGCAGGCTGAAGGGGTTGAAAGATTGGGAGCCAATTAACACTTCTTAGTAGCTCAGGTACGGTCCTCCAAACCTTCCCTTACCTGCTGATTAATGCCTGAAATGCCCTTTTCAGAGGACAGTTGGTGGCTGGGGAAGAGATCATTTGAGTTTTGCTCATGGTAGGTACTCGTTAAGTGATTCTTAAAACTGATTCATGTTCATAGTGTTCCATACATAGTAGGGGCTTTTAAAGTACTCTCTAATAACTGTGTTCATAGTGCACACACTAGGTACTCTTTAAATGTCTGCTCAGTTTGAATGTGCCTGCACAGTATTTCTCACATGCCTGCCCTTCTGCCCACTCACACAGCCATCCCTAATTCAGGCCCTTGGCACCTCTCCATCCCACTACTGCAGCAGCCTGGTAATTGGTTTCCCGGCTCCAAAGCATCCTTCGCTAAGCTACCCAACGGCATTCTCTAAAACATCAGTCTGACCATATCATCCCACCACCCCCAAACTCAACAACCTGCAGTGGCTCCCTATTACCTGCAGGATCACGTACGAAGTCCTCTGTTGGACATTCGGAGCCCTTTACAATTTGGTCTTCTTCACACGCTCTATGATCCATTTACACAGGTCTCCTTGTTCTTCCTGTATGGCACTCCTCAGCCCATCTCCATGCCTTGCCTGCCTTGGTCCTGGGTGCTCCCCCTCCTCACCTCCACCCTTAGAATCCCTGGCTTCTTTCAAGACTCACATCTTGGAGACTTTTCCTGGTCTTCTTGACCCAATCCCACCCCACCCACCTCCTCTATTGCTAGAAAAGAGAAAGGGAGAGGGAGCAGAGCAGGAAGAGGAAAAAAGAGAGGGAGGGGGAAAGGTAAAGGGAGAAGAAGAGAGGGGAAATAGGGAGGGGGAAGGAGGAAAGGAGAGAAAGAGAGAGAGAGCAAACGAGAGACAGAGAAAGAAAGAGACGTGGGGGAGAGAGAGAGACAAGGAAGGGAACAGGGAGAGAGACAGAGAGACAGAGACAGAGAGACTGGGAGAGGGACAGGGAGAGAACAATCTCTGCCCTTAAGGAACTTGTCACTTAAAAACCTTCCTTAGCACAACCGAAAAATGAATGAGCTGTGCTGCCCTCACCTAACTCCCTTCTCCTATCTCTTTAGTCTGTGTGCGTATTGGATGTACCTGTTTCGTTACATGTTGTTCCCCCCATTAGGTTTAAGAGCAGGAAGTGTCGTCTTTTGTACCCCTGGTGCTTAGCACATAAGAACCTAGTAATCAATACCTGCTGGTTGATTAAGCTTCTCCTACATGCCACTCACTATGCTATGTGCTGGGCACAGTAAGATAAGAACAAGGCAACCCTTTTCCCTAAGGAGTTTCTATTCTACTGGAGGTGGGCCAGTCACACTGGCCTCATAGATGACCGTTGGTCTCTCACCTCCATGCATTTGCCCTGGCTGTCCTTGGTGCCTGGAATGTTCTCCCTTTTCACATCCTCCTCTAAGTTTCCCTGGCTTCCTTTAAGACTCTGTCCAAATCTATGGTGCTATTAGTGCCTTCTCTCTGACATTAGCTCCCATCTACTCTGTCTATACCTTGTATGTACGTAATTAATTTGTATGGTGTTTCCCCCCCCCAATAGAACATGAGTTTCTTGAGGACACGGACTGTTTCTGTTTTTCATTTTGTCCCGGCGCCTTTGCACAGTTCTGGGTACATGGGGGGTAGTAGGGTGGTAAATGCTTACTAAACACCTGTTATGTGCGAGGTGCCATTGCCAGGTGCAGGAGTACAAAGATAAACTAAAACAATCCTTAACCTCAAGGAGCTTACATTCTATTGATGAGATAGGACTGCTATAGAAATAAATGAATCTTGGATAAAGCTCTGTCCTTGGAATCAGGAGGACCTGAGTTCAAATCAGGCCTCAGACACTTGACACTTACTAGCTATGTGACCTTGGATAAGTCACTTAACCCTGATTGCCTTACCAAAAAAAAAAAAAGAAAGAAATGAATCTCAAATGTGCTCAATAACATTAGCTAACATTTAGATAATGCTCTTTCAGTCAAGCATTTTTAAATATTTATTTATTTAATTTTTAATTTATGTAGTAAAACAATTTATGAAATTTATGAAATAAAACAATAAAACAATAATTTTCATAATATAATTTTAAAAAGGATTACACATGAAACTGCAAATCTGTTATGTACAACTTGCTTTTCCTTTTAAATATATAATAAAGTTACCATGTAAATTTCTTTTTTTCCTTCACTCCCCCTCAAGCATTTATTAAGCACCTACTATGTGCTAGGCACTGTGGTAAGTGCTGAAGATACAAAGAAAGTCAAAGGACAGTCCCTACTCTCCAGGGCAGTCTAATGGGGGAGGGGAGAAGGAAGGGAGAGACCGAATGAAAGCAACTCAGTACAAACAAGATACATACAAGATAAATTGGGCATAGACTCAGAGGAAAGGCACTGAGATTGTGGACGACTAGGAAAGACTTCTAAAGTTTACAAAGCATATTATCTTATTTGAACCCCATAACAACTGAGAGGTAGGTGCTATTATCCTCATTTTATAGATAAGGAAACTGAGGCAGACCAAGGTGAAGTGACTTGCCCAGAGTCACACAGCTAGGAACATTTGAGGCAGGATATGAACTCAGCTCTTCCTATCTCCCAATCCAAAATTCTATGCAATGTACCACCTATCAACTTTGTAGTAACACAACGAAATTTTGAAAGGAGACATCTGCTAATAACTGGGCATAGGAGAGACAGGTAAATCAGGAAAAGTCTCACATAGGAGGTGTGTTTTGAAGGAAGCCAGGGATTTTACCAGGGGGAGGTAAGAGGGAGAACATTCAGAGCATTGGGTACCCAGACACAAAGGTGGGAGACTAAAGTTTGTGCACAGGGAGAGTGTGGAAATAGAATTCATGCCATGTGAATGAATGAATGTTGAATCAATGGACTCTGAGCGAATTAATTAATTAATGTTGAATGGATGAATTAATGATTATCCAATGAATTATTGAATCACTAATGAATAAATGCATGTGTGAGTGCTGAATAAATGTTGAACAAATGAATGAATGAATGTTGAATGAACGAACAAATGAACTTTGTGAATTTCCCACCCAGGAATTGGAGCCGTGGCAGCATGGAGTCATGAAACAAGAGGCAGATTTGTAGGCAGAACCCCTCTGTTGCTTCTTATTGCTGTGACCCTAGGCAAATTGCTTTGTCTCTCTGGGTCTCAGTTTCCTCACCTGTAAACTGAGGAGTATAAAGTAAATGAATTCTAAGGTCCCTTCCA